ACTCCTCATATAATATATTTCACATTTTATATTAATTTGATTTAAAAATAAATATTGTCATTTTCATACCTAACAATTTTAAACTAATTAAATCATAGATTCTATTCCTTTTTTAGAATGAAAGGATATAAGGGCAAATTTGTCAAATTAAACTTATTAAGCATTCAGTTATAAATATTTATCAAATAGTATAAATAGATTTAACATTAAAATTCAGACATTCATATATTTTTTTCAGTGCTTAAAATTGAACAAATTAATTGTTTCAGTATTCAGATTTCAGAATTCAGAATTCATATTCAGTTTTATCAAACGGAACCTAAGCCTTAGTAAAGGGAGTGAAAGGGAAAAAGTTAGATAGTCGATTCAAGAGTTTCACGGTTAGCTATAGCTAATATCTTTATCCAACTGAGTTAGATTTTAACACTTTTTGAACGATATTTAATTTTTTTTGTTTTAAATTCATTTAGATAGTGGTAAATAAACTTGTATGAAAAACTAATTTTAATTTTTCCTTCACTTCCCTTTCTTGCACTCCACTTTACCACACAACTATCATTCAGACGTAGCCTTAGTGCTTTCCATGAATTTTAGTTTTTCTTTTCTTCTTTTGGTGGAGGGGCAGCCCATGCCACTACCACTTGTGCTGCTGGTTCGAAGCCTTGTGATTTTTAGTTCCTATGTTATGTCAAACAAAATAGTGTCCCACATTAATGAATGTGTATACAATACATACATACATATATATATATATATTACAACATTTTAGGTTTTGAGGCTCTTTCCATCCATACAATAGCTGAAGGAGACCCAACGTCAAGCTCTTCTCATTATGTGTTGAGACCCACAGTTTGTTGCGGCAGTTTACAACTTCACCTTTTTGTTGAATATTTCAATACGTTAATGATCAGAATCAAAAAGTTTTCTTGCGTCTTTTTTATGTCAGAGGAGGGCCAATAAAGGGAGAATATTAATGCACTAATATGTCATATTTGGTATAACCATCATCTGCTGCAAAACGTAGTTTTCCAACCTAGCAGTGTCCACAATAGTCCCTTTATTTAAATGAAGTATAAAGAACTGATATGAAGAAAATTTACCTAAAACATGGTGTAGTGTAAATGTAAAATCCAAAAGTATATTAAAGAATCCAAAGCCACCAATTATGTTTTCTAAAGTTATTAATATCGGTAAACATACGTCGTAAAAAATGTTTAAATCGATAAGTATTCAAATAATGACTATCACTAACGAGGGTTTCATGTTTCAAATATATATTTTTGGGCTTGTAGGGTCACGAAAATTGAAATACCTAAGATACGGGTGACTTATTTTTCATTACTTTATGGAATTTCACCTCAAAAGTGACTTTGAATCCTCTATTTGATGTTACACTCATGTTACATTGTATTTTAAAGTGATACTTGTCCCTTTATATAAATTCAACGTGTCTACGGCGATGAAATAATTGTCACTTTAAAACATGAACATCAAAAAAAGTACAAATAAAAGACCCAATGCAACTCAAAAATATGAGTTTTTTTTAAAAAAAAAAATCTTTAACTGCAGTTGAAATGGTTCCCAACTTTTTGGTGAGGCAGAATGATAAAGAATGATATAGGCAATTTACATTTTGATTCTTCTAAGTTGCATTGCATATATAGATAAATCCAAATAGCTAGGGATGCTTTCGTGGCTTGAGTGAAAATGATGGTGAAGCAGACGCATCTATTGCTAGGGATCTCAATATTTCCAAGGGCCCGGGTACTTTGTCCCAAGGTTTCTAGATCTCAATTCTCATTAGGCCTACAAGTGTTGTCTACATCTTCTCAAGTGTATCTTTGTCTACTTCTTGAGTATGGATGTTTCTAGTTAGATATGTTTCTTTTCCTGGACTTGCTTAGCCTACATGTTTTTGAATTTAATTGAAAGGTGGTTTGTTTCTCTCTTGTTGATTGCGAAGTTGACTATATAAGAATTCCAGCTTAGTAATTCAACTAAGTAAATTATACACTTGCATAGAAATTAGGGTGTCGGTAGGCTTATCTTTTCGACAGACAGTATGAATTGTCATGTAAATTACTTGGAAGATGGGTTTGCAGGGGCTGTTTAGAGGGGTTGAAGATTAATTTTTTTTTTATGAAAGTATAATTAAATTATGATATTAGGAATTAAAGGTTCTGGATTCAAATCTCTCTGTTTCCTCCTGGCTTCTTAAGTTTCACTCTTCTCTACTAGAATTTTTTTTTTAAATAAAAATAATTAGGTTATGAGAGTAGGTAAATATAAGAGGAATCCGAATCATAAATGTGAACGCAACAAATCTGTTGTCATTGAGTACTCGTTAAAAAAGATTATTAGATAATCTACCTACCAAAATAGTGTACCTCGACTTTAACCACTTGAACAAAACCAATTACAAGTCACAAAACTATAGAAGTTGCCTGTATTTCTTATCTACTTATGACATGAGCATGTTTATAGAGTACATAACATATAGAAGAGTTTTCTTGGAATTTCTAGTCAAGCAATCCATCATCCACAAATTAATTGTAGTTGCATAACCAAAAGAAGACTGATTGATTCAAAGAAATTATATATATATAATATCGACTGCTTATGGTGAAACTTTCTATATATTGTCTCTCAAATCTCAACATCTGCATAGAAAACTTTTTTTGTGAGCTCAAGTGAATTGCTTTAAGAAATAACACCAAGTGAACAAATCCCAACAATTATCTCTTGGCAAGGACAAGCATGAAAACAAATCATATTCCACTTGGACTATCGTGAGATTTAGTGTTTGAGGGAAAGAAAGGAATCAAGTATTCTCCACAACAATAATTAATGGGAAAGGATCTTGATGATCATAAACTGTTCAAATACTCACAGAACGTGGGGGGGGGGGGGTTTCCGAAATCCATCCTCATGGAGAATTGTACTATCATTTTCCTAATACTTCTAGGATGACCGAGTAAGAGGATGCTAGGTAAATTTATGAAGTTAAATGCTTTGGTTTGTGGAAGAAACCAAATAAAAAATGATCATGTGGATAAATCATCAGCTAAAATACGATACCAATTTACTGACAAAGAAACCTAAAGCCAAAAACTCAAGAGCAGAAACCATCAATGAAAGTACAGCAAGAGTACATGTTTGGGCTGAATTCTGTATGAGTTGCACATTTAGCCCAAAAAAAAAATGAAAAACATGAAGACTAAACAAGTATAGATGGATTTCCTCACTTCCTTAGCTCACTGGATAATTAAAGAAAGAATTGGTGTAAGAAAACACAGCGGATAAAGTTTCATACTATCACTAGTTTTAGTAAATGATACATGCAAGCATGTTGTAGCCACACTTTGCTTTGCATAAAAAATGTTGCAGTAGGTAGCTAAAGAAAGAAGCAAATGATGGGCACTCATGTGCTTGATAGTTATGCTCAATGGGGACCAAACCAATTAGTATAAATCAATATCATTATCAGCATCACCCCCATGCCTGCTACATGTTCACTACAGAATAAAGCAACTAATGAGTAGTCATAAAACTCTGTCCTGCTTCATCAAGTGGGGCTTAGATTCTTTGGAAGAAGAATGTTAATCTTGGAAACAAGATACTTTTGTGGGTGCAGATTTGTTGCATTTCAAATCTCAGTTGTGCACTTTGTAAGGTTTTGTGTGGTTGCTGTTCCTAAGTAAAATTTTGGCTATTACTTTTTGTAATTAATTCCTTGATTTTTCCTTGTCAAAAGCCGTGGATGCATTGACTAAGAAAAATCTTCTTATCATTGGTAGTGTGTGAAACCTTGAAAGCCATATATACAAGGTAACATCATCTTTCAATCTTCTTGTTGTTACAATCTTAATAATGACTGCAAGATTTTGAGAAGCCATTAAGTACTCATTAGGTAACATTAAAGGATCATATGATCTTATAACAATTATGAGATGATGGGAAAACGCAATTATAATACTGCGACCGTGTATTTCATATTCTGAACATTGATTTAACTTGAGCAACTGCTGCTTACTATCAAGACAATGTAGCCTATAAGAATTTCGGAAATCTTCCTTCGAAAATTTGAAAATTTTCGTAGCTACATAAACTAATATTACTCTTCTGCATGTCAAGTAGTGATTGCAAGTAACCTTCGAGGTCGTCCAATGGTTAGAAGAGAACTCTTAAAATATTTTCTACTGTCAATTTTAGGGTTCGAATTGTGTATCTAGCCGTTCGCTGTGGGAGATAGGCAAAATGATGGTGACTGCAAGCGAGGAGAAATGCCAAGGGTGTCAGCAGGAAACTAGTACACTCGACTGGAGCAAGCACGTACTTTGATTTAGTATTTCGGCCAGCCTGTGTTAGGTTTAATCTTGGGATGCTTTGCTTTCATTCTACTGTTTTAGCCCAAGAGAACGGAGCTTACCCAAATAAACATATCCCTGTATGATGCAATTACACAGTAATGGACCAGACCCTATACATATATATATATATATATATATATATATATATATATATATACCATTTTTGTAGAATCATATTTTGTCCAACAACCTACTAAAAATTCTGCATCAAGACCGGCCCAGAAGAATTAGGTCGGACCTTCAAAACTTAGGGTGGAGGGGGCAAGAGAGGGAGGCTGCATGGTTGTGGTAGGGAAGGAGGAGGGTGCCGGGGAGCTTTCCAGGGTGGGGTGGCGGATGGTGGAAAGAGGGATGGAGTGATCTGTTGAGTACCCTCAAGACGCTCGTCCAATAAAGTTTATAACAGACACCTCTATAGAAAATCCAATCCGGACATACCCAATCATTTGCTAAGAAAAATAACTAAAAATATGCATAAAAAACCTAACACAAAGCTAAAATTTGACAAATATAAGTCAACATGACAACGAAGTAATTACCATGGAAAACTACAAAACTAGCTAAAACTGCAAAAATTCGCCATAATCTGGGTCACCGACCATCATCTACCACCGATTATTACACAATTAAGAATGAATGAAGAAGCAATTATATTATGAAAAAGCAATTACAACTGGGGGTTAAAAGTAGCTTATATGTATCATGTACACATTTTCGCAGGTTGACTGTCTACAAAATTGTTGAAGTGGTTTGTTCTAGTCCTCAACAATGTATATAAGCTCCTTGTACTCAAAACTAATCGCTCGATACTCCTCAACAGAAACATGGCCTCAGTATTTAAAGAAGCCAACATTTTGATCCTTGCCCAGCACATCTTCTATACCTCCCCTGTAAAGGCCTAAACTTTTTGCTAATGAAAAACCAGCATACACACCATCCACAGCTGCACTAACAATTCCACCAGCATAACCTGCTCCTTCACCAACAGGATATAGCCCCTTCAGCGATGTACTCTCGTGAGTATCAGAGTTTCGTAATATCCTGACAGGAGAACTGGTTCTTGTCTGGGGCCAATACAATAAACTTTAATGTACGACTCAAAATATTTTAAAAATTAATAGAAATACACAATTCTGGCAAAAATCCAAACCATCTAGGAAAAACATAAAAAAAACAATGCAACGACGATGGACAGATGTCTAGCTTTCAAGTCAAGGTTCCAGTTTCTGAATCATTAGATTTAGCGAGAACGTTTCAATTAACAGTATATTAAACGAAGCAAATCAATTAGTACCTCCACTCCATGGAGAAGCGCACTGTTGGAGATAAATCCTGGTAGCTGCGAATTCGGGTTTATGAAATAATTATATTGAGATATTGTTTAAAACATCTAAACAGTATGAGAGAAGAACATCATGGCTAGAAGAAATATTAGGAAAAGGATAAGGTGTAAAAAGAGCAAACTAGAATGGCAGAAAACCTCTTTCTCAAACATCAGAATTGAATGCCGCAAAGCCTCTGTTATGTGTGGAGGATATAGTTCATGAAGACTGGTTGCTTTCACTCCTAAACGATAACTTGATGATGGTATGCATTTTACTGCAATTGAAGGAGAGAAATATGAAAACTAGGTGATGATATCTTCATACAACTTTTCAGAACGAGGATCTAAAGTGAAGATTTACCTGGCAACTTGCTATTTAGAAAATCGGTAACTGTTTGAACAGGCACCACAAAATTTCCACCTCCCATTATAGCTGCTTTTCTTTCAAATTCCCTCTGAACAGAAAGAGAAGATAGTCGATCCAAAATCAAATGCAACGTGACAAGGAATTTAAGGAACATGAAATTATACTGTCAATTCTAAGAAAAAGGTTTAGTACAAATTGGAAAGGATGCCACAAAGACCTAACATTCACTAATTTTACACAAAAAGAATAAGAAAACCAAGACCCCAGAAATGCTTTTCCGTCCAACATAATAACCTTTCCTTATTTCATCAATGCTTATCCAACAAAAACTTGCAGCATCGTTTATTCAATGATGTAAAAATGCATTAGAAGAGAAGTTTTGCCAAAACAAGGTGAAAGAATACAGGCACCTGAAATTCAACACCAGCAAGTGGTCCATGCAAATTTAGAGCATCAAAATCTTTTGATGATACAGAGACAACAAGCGCAGCGTTTGCCCACCTAGATGAACGTCGAGAGAAAGACATGCCATTGATACAAAGTTCTGATGGATCAGTACTAGTGAGGACCACCTGCAAAAACCTTGCAAGTGAATCTTCTAATGTGATTAGTTTTATGTGCTGTTTAGGCCCTAAACAAAAAGTTCTTTGTCATATATTTAAACTATGCAGCAAATATTGCACAACACATCTCTACTTCCAGATAATAAACTTGAATCTGATTTCTAGAAATGCTGCACCCATCAATCTCAGTTTCATCTTTCCTTTCTTGCAAAAACTAATTGTGAAAGGAGTCTTCGGGAAGAACAAATTAAAGGGAAAAAACCCATATATATTGACAAAAAGATGGAATTCAGTGCTTTGAGAAGAAAGAAAGTCACAACTATTCAAGAAAACTTCGAAAGTTGCAAAGACTTCGACTGGGCAACAAGAGTACTACATCAGACACTTCATTCAATAAGAGAGAAGAAAAATGAATACGTACCTGACCTCCAGGACACATGCAGAAGGAGTAGCAGCTACGGTTTGTTGATCCTAAACTTAAGGGTGCATCTTCATATTCTCCACTCACATATGCAGCAACCTTGTAATCTGCAACTGGTACTTTGCCTTTTCCACTCTGAACTTCATTCGCCAATTCAGAGTACTGCACCCTTGTACAACATGATATTTAATGAAAACCAGAGTAAAAAGCAAATAGTAGCATAGCATATAAAAATTGAAAAATTGACAAGAAGAGCTAAAAGCTAAGTGGATCCCCAAAGTCAAAGCAGCAAAACATTAGCCAATGAAAACAGGAGTCAAAGTGCCAACTACATATTAAACAAAACATGGATTCTTTCATATAGTTATCTTTCCTGAACCACCAAACAACCGATATGGGAAAATGCATCTACATGGGACACAGAACTCTAAGTAACCAACAATCTAATGTTTCATGCTTTTTCTAGTGTAGTACTGGGAATGTACAGTGTGCTTCAGAACTGTTTAGCGGGTGAGGAACTCTCTTATAGACGACCAAGTGAACCAGAACATCTTGATAAAGACACCTATCACACCAAATTGTTATCCAATATCTACTTGAATCTAATGAAGTCACACCATCACAAAAGTCTTGAACAAAAGGAGGATCTTGAAGTACAGCTCATGCACTCCAATGATCCAACAGGTTGAATTTGTCAGTCCTAAAACTCAAAATCGTAAATCACCCCTTAAAATCATAATTTACACAAGCAAAAGACTAGTAGTCTCAAAGATGCTATACGTCCAAAAAACACAGCTATATTACTCACCTGTATACTGTTTATTAATTCTTGAGGATGCTCAACCCGCAAACCTACCTGTGATAACCATGAGTAGATACAGAAAAAGAAGATCAATTTGCTAGGACATATACATCCAAGATTACATAAAACTAATCCTAACACAAGTTACGATGGTGAAGGAAGAATTCATGATTCTCTCATTGCAGAAGGAAAGGCCTATATCTAAATATGCTAATTGTTTATACCAACATGTGACATACTATATGAATTTGATATCAGCAGAACAATCCTAAGCCCTTTAAAGCTTTATAAAGCATATATTACTGTACTCTAAGGCCCAATCACAGAAACTTAATGCCAATGATGGTCTAGAAGCTTAGGCATAATAAATTAGATGACTTCATAATTTTCTCCCCTTCTCAGTTGGTAACGTCTTATCCGTTAACCACATTTCATCATCCTGGTTAAATGTAGAGTTTATACATCCTCACTGTTACATTTCCTTCCCTTAGATCCACATGTAAGCGTACATATGACACGTACAAAATATATCCGCAGACAAAACAACCAAATACCACAACCACCTTAAGCATATTATACTGGGAGGTCTGAATACACTCTTTTGGGCGTCACTCTTTCTGTGTAAACCCAGGTAACTGTTGAAGACATATGAGCATATAAACAAAGAGCAACTTTTTTTATTTGATAAACGACTAGATCCCATTTAAATTTATCAGCGGTATGAGTGATAATCATCTGCATAAACTCAAGAGGCGAATAAATTGTTGATTAATGTCTTCTATATCTGAAGAGATAAATAAATGGTCAGCTCCTTTTAAGAGCATGGAAACATTGGCAACTCACACACATCAACAGCTTCAGAGCTTGTTGCCTGACTCCCTGCATCCCATCTTTGCCAAGGTTCTCCCAACACCCCCCCCCCCAAACAACCAAAAAAAAAACCCTCAGGAAGTGGAGGAAACTTTAGAGCATAAAATAGAATACAGGAATATGAGGCAGGTATATATTATGACAGCAAAATTTGGAGGCAAACTCAAATCCTATACCCAAGAATATAGTACCAGGAGGAAGAAAAGAAAATTTCTATCTGCAAGCTGAGATAAAGAAAAACTCACAGCAAAATCTTTTTGAACCATGTCCACGTTATGAGAAAGAAGCATTTGATAGGTATCACGTGCAGAATGCCCAACAGCAATAACTACTGCATCGAATCCTAACTTCAGGCTAGTGGACTCCAGGTTGCCTATTGAATCAGAAACACTGATACCCACAACATGTGCACCTTCCACAAGCAGATCATCCAGCCTGGTTCCAAACTTAACAATGACCTAGATAGATATGTTCAAGAGACAAGATTAATAGAGTGACAAAAATTGAAAAGATTAACAGCAAATTTCTCTGAAAACTACAAGTTTAAAATGCAACATACACCCAACTCTTGTAGGTATTGTCGGAAATTGCGAAGTAGTGGAACCAATCTGTCAGTTCCCAGATGAGGTTTTCCATGAACCAATATGTTTTTTGGAGCTCCAAAGTGAATCAATGTCTTCAAAACCTGGAATTAGGCCAGATTATTTAAGTACATGAATGGATCAAGTATCATTTTGTACTAACCAACCTCATGTAATGCTCAGATGGAGGACACTTACTGTTGTAACACTATAACTATTTTTCCCAATTCTTGTTACTAGCTTTCCATCACTCCAAGTACCTGCACCACCCTGTGACCCATAAGTCCTAAATAAATTTACAACAAAGACACAAAGAAATAAATCACCAGAAATTTGAACTTTCCTGTGCAGATGGTTGTACAAAAGTTCAAACAATATTCATCAAAATGAAAGTTGGTAGGACAAAATTAACAGTCATTACACAATAAAAATCTTGAAGGTACTAAGTGGATTAGGAGATCACCTCCCCAAAGCAAAAATTGCTATCCTCTTGTAACATTCGTCGAACTACCAAAGCTCCAATGTCACGCCCCCTTCTTTCAACTGGTTGCCCTCTCTCTATCAATGAAACATCTGCTCCAAATTCAGCAAGTACAAGAGAAGCAAACAAGCCTGAAGGCCCACTACCAACAACTGCAACTTTTGGTTTTCGAGCATAGGGATACACTAGTGATCCCCCATAATGATTTCTGGGCCCCACACCTTCTGTTTCATTATTCTTTTTGCAATTCTTAACTAGGCTTATTAAATCACCAAAATCTCCAGAATCTCTCTGATCAGTCAGATGCTCTATAAGCCCAGTCTTCGGCTCCAGATCAGAAATAAAGTCTAAAGTACGAGGCTCTGAGCTCAGAAGTTTGGAGACATCCATATTCACTGCGTACACAAACTTTGGTTCCTTCTGAAATTTGATTAATGAAAATATATTAGGTGAAATGCAGCAAACAATTGTGAACAAATTAGAAAATTTTGTGAGTGTAATACAATGAGATTGCCAACAACAAGCAGAGATAAAAGCGCAAGAAGAAGGACCATTCTGTTCATCATGCAGCTCTAGCTCAAAAAGTCATAGTTGGCCAATTTCTAAACCATCGATGATAAATACAGACCAATTGAAAAGACAGTGTTCTTCTTTATGTTGTGTGGTGCATGTAGGCATTGGTGTTAAGACTTGGCAATACTGAGATATTGATACAAAAAGAGAAATCAGTCTTTTTAGAGCAATGAACTTATATTCTAAGCAGCTCAATGCATATCTCTATAGCAACGGAATTCCATTTCAAAATAAGCCAATATATTCCAAATACAAAAGGAAGAGAACAAATAAGGCCTGCAATGTACAAACCTTTCGAGCATCAAAAGACTTTCTAAGAACTGTGAAAGCCTCTGGTGGCAACATTGAAGCAACCTGCAATCATGAAAACAACTTCAAACCACTCACTACTTGGACATTTCCGAGAAGTATACAGCAGCTTAAACTATAGGCATAGAATTCCAAAATATAATTTCTTATTTTATTTTTTAGATTTTAGCAATGAGAAAAATCCAGAACGCAAAATCTAAAATTGAAACTAAAAAGCATAATATGTCAAAGTTTACACCACTTAAAAAAAAATAGAAACTGAGTAGCTAATGAGAGTTAAAACTTTGCACCATAAATGCTACAAAAGAACGAAAAGGGAAACAATCAGATTCAATTTCAAAAGGGTTAAAGAATCCAAAAACCATATACCGGAAATTTGAGAACTTTAGCAATTTCTTCAAGCAAAGCATCCGAAACACCAAGAAAATCTTTTCCAGGGTCTTTATCAACCGAGACTTCAAGCTTGAAAAGCCTCCAAACACCTTCAAGTTTGTTTCTTTCATCGATTTCGTATTGTCTTTGGAGTTTTAGCTTCTTTTTCTCAGATGGGTACCTCAATTTTCCCCTCCTTTTTGCTTTATTGGCAGAAACTATGGTGAGTGGTTTTGAAGGAAAGACAGTGTCTTTACTGTTGGACCAAGAGAATTTTGAAATGGGGTTGTAAAAGGAGACGTGAAGAGGGGCTATAAGCTTAGTAGAAGCCATGGTTGTGGGCCTGTGGAAAACTGAGAGTCTGGGAGGCAGGAAAACAGGATAATGGATGTTGAAGGATCTTTAACCTTTTTATTTTGTGTACAAGAAAAGGAATTTTAACCTTTTATCTTGGGACTTAATTAATGGGAGTTGCACTTTTGGTTTTAAAATTGGATTTCCAGTAATTATAGCATCTTCTGTTTTGTGTGCATATTTTTTTAGGCATTTTGTTTGAATATTTGACAATTAATCCTAGTAATTTTTTCTTTTCTTCAAAAGCTTTGTCTTATAAAAATTGGTGATTAATATATTCATTGTCATTTTGAGCTCCTACACTTCATACACTAGTAATTTCATTTTTAAATTCTTTGTCCTATAAAAGTTAGGGGAAGACAGACGTTATAATGAGCTGATTAAATGTGTTCTTGAAACTCATGTACCACTAGTTATCAAATTGCATTGTTAACATACATAATTGCAAATCATTGGAATGGTTTCTTGCTTAAAAAAAAAAAAAAAGATAAAATTTTCCTTACCACTAGCAATGCACCAAGTTGGTCCTGGCATTTTTCAGTTACATCATTTTGGTTAATTATTTTTAACCATCTATTTGGCACAAAGTCTCACACAAACTGTATGGGGCCTAAGTTTTAGAATTTTCTTTGATTAGATTACATTTGCAATAAGAAAATTATTTATTTCTAATTTTTTTTATGAGAGAAGAGAAGTACGATTTTTTTTTTTTTTTTGTTTTTCACCATTATACATACATGTACTGAATATATTGAAGCACTATAATTACATCATGCTAATGGGATTGTAATATTGGTCCTGCCTGAAAATGTGCAGAAGTGAGGTGAGAATGATAGTTTGTGCTGGAAAGATAACTGCGAATAACAATTTAATGCATTCATGAATAACACCCCACACACCCCCCTCCCCCCAGTATTCAGAAGGTCATTTCTGTAAGAGAATAATGAGCTATTCTATTTCTGCCTAACAATCTACTGGTGATTTTTCTGGGCTGGTGGCTGGTTTGCATGTCAGAAGAAGTTGGTTTCTTTTGTGAAAATCATCAACATAACTCCGCTCAACAGAATCTTATGAGCAGCTACTAACGTTACTGATGTTTTAGCCTTTACAGAATCCATATCCAATTATCACAGTATCATCTTATCCCCAACCTCGTTGGACAATTGATTTCAGCGTCACTCTCATCATCCGTGGCTCTTAAAATATAGAATGTGACTCTGAATTGTACAAGTTTACGCTCGCATTGCATAAGTTTACATAAAATATTGTAAAAACTATATCAATCGCTTTGAACTAGGTAGAATTCAACGTGTGAAACTCCGAATCCATAATACATAATCCCAAAATCAATACAAATGAGAGAATTAACTAAAAGAAAGTGTTAAAATTAGACTGCTAAACTTAACTATAAAGCTGTGTAGATCAGTAGTACTAGTACAAGTTCTTAATTCATCTTCATCATATTAAAGCCCAGAGGCAGCACAAGTCTACAGGTTGGACAAGAATTGCTGTTGAACATCAGCCATCTTAATATACAATTCTTGTGGAAAACGTGAGAACAACTGGTAATGGAAATTTTCTCGTCCACCACTCCAACAAAGCCCTCTAAACAAATGGCGCAAGTATCCACTGATTTGTCAAAATCCTCCCACTTCCGTTTTCTCCCGACTACGGCCGGCGAAATTTCCACAAAACCTCCTCTTCCAGGGTCATCCCGAGTAAGGGATTTTCCCATCCTCCCCTGCCTTCCCATCCTCACACCTAAACAGTCCCTTAAGCAGCGTAGAAACGAATTCTTCTCGACTCCCTCATGATCAGCTATGTCGTCCTTGTCCTCGTTTCCATCCTCTGAAGTCCCTCGAGGAGGGGGAATCATCGTAGGCGGAGGCAAAAGCCGGGAGATTGCAACTTTAGAACGACGCGTGCCGTCCGAAAGAACGAACCAAGAACGCGAAACTTCAACAACAATGACTGTCTTAGGAGAATCCGGTTGAATCTTGGCTTGGGGATCATCATCAAAGTCGAAACGTGTAAACAAGAAACCCGAAATCGAGTCTCCAAGAGTTTTGCAAGTGTCTTCCGACGATGAAAATTGTTGAGTAGCCTGTACGAGTTTCAGTCCTAAATTCTTGTCTCGGGCGAATAGGTCCGGGAGATTGAAAGAGACAATACATTCATGACGATGATTTTTAGGTAATCCATAGCTTTTGGAGTTTTCCAAAACGGTTGTGATAACAAACAGGGCTAGACCTTGAGAATCTGATACTTTTTTGTTCTTGAAAAGATTTTCATTCCACCTGAAGAGACGCACGTTACAACATTCAACTCTCTCCAGCACCGCCATTGCTCTTGGCTCTTTCCTTCAACAGAAAAGGGAAATAGGTACGGAGTTTTTTGCCTTGTAGTAGTCTAATATATTTATAATACACGTATAGCACGTTACTGTTTCCCACCGATTCATAGGAGGATTCGGAGTGTTTCCTAATTGAATGTTGATTGATAATATTGGGACTCCAATAATCCTTAAGAAATGTTGAGGGTAATAACATTGACATCAAGTACGGTGTTGTACTTTTTCAACAATTTAAACCGGTTGATATTTAGGAGCCTAAATATATAAGTTTTGCACAAAATGAAATTTGCAGTCATGGAGCCAATTATAATAAAGCTAGGGGGGGGAGGAGGGGGAGGCGCTAAATTTACAAACTAAAAAGAAGGTATAATTCTAATTCAAAAATATGAATTAAAAAAATAAATAAATTTTCGTACAATAAATAAATAAATAATTTTTGTGGTAAATTTTTGGTTGGTGAATCTCCAAACTTTATAATACATAACTGAATTAAGCAATAAGTGGTAAATCATGATCTTATAAGACACTTTCTCTCTTTTTTTTTTTTTTTTTTTTTTGAGATTAATGACCTTACCAACTCAATGAGAGATAATTAGACCAAACAGCTCTTTTTGTAGAATTATTTCTTAAACAACTATAAGAAATTAACCTTAATTAAAGAATTAATTTGGCTCAAAATTGCATTTTGTATGCCATTTGTTTGTAGGCCAGGCAAAAAAAAAATTAAATAAGCTTACTTGGATGCCATATCTCCGAGAACCCCTAAACAATTGTTTAGGCTGCCTCAAAATTGTTAGAGAACTATGGCATGTACGCCTGTCAACGGTCCGGGTCTGGATCAAGACCTAGACCGGATCCGTCAAATTATTTCGAGTACGAGTAGGGATATAATTTCGTTCTTTGGATTCAGATTCGTTTTTTCAAACAAAAATGTAGATCGGATGTGGAATATAGTATTTCAACCCAAATCCAAATATAAATGAATTAATAATTTAATATATATATTTATTAATATAATACCCAGATTTACTTCAATTTTCAGTATGACTATTATCCAATATATATTTATGAATATAATAGCCCGAATTCCCAGGTAGACTCAACTCGGATCCGAGACCCGTCGGACCCGGTTCAAAGATATAGAGTAGAAGACCTGCGGACCGAATTCGGATCCGGTATAGCATGACGGGTTCGGTCGGAATAATGATTTCGACCCAAACTTGACCTGTTGGCGGGCCTAATCGCATGCAATGCACAGCTTTGAACCGTTGATTATTGTGGAGGACTGAATAATGAATATTCAAGAGAAAAATAATCTTGTAAAAGTTCGAAGAGACAGTTTACAAATGAATAAGATCGTTTTGGGTAAAAGAATATGAATCAAGTTCTTGACGATGTTATAATTCATTTTCAGTTCTTGTCTTTGAACTATTTTATGGGGCAAAGATAGATATCTTTATTTTGATTCTCAAGTTATTTTTTCAAATTCCATCGTCCCCACAATGAGATGACAATCTTCACTTCACTAAGTTGAGTTGGCAAAGCCCCATGATGGACCAAAATATTAGTATTCAAGCAAATAAAAATTCCTAAAGGTTACAAAATAGATAAAAGGCAAAATCAATTGAGTTAAAACTAAAATTAGGGTATGTACATACAAGTAGAACATTAACCTATCCAGCTATTTCTATTCAACACTACAAAAAAGTTTCGAATCTATCATATTGAAGGGAAAGATTAATCTGAATTCTTTTACATGAGAGGCAAAATCATTATACTGATTATGAATAGCATTCCTTTAAAACAAAAAAGTAACACTTAATATTGATAACATATTATCTTCATGATCAACTTCAACAAAACCATCTAGACAAATAGCACATTGATCCTCCATTCTCAAGGCCGAGCAGGTAATTGTGGATGTCCTCGGTTTCCTCTGTAATATAATCTAAAGAAGACAGTCTCTCATCTACTTCCACCTTCCTGTAACCATTCCAAGTATCATTCTCAACTTCTTTTTGATTGTAATCTATAAAATACCATATATCATCATCTTCATCTTCCTCATCCGCTGCAGCTGGATCACAAGGGAAGTTGTCTGTAGGCGAGAACCTGAAAGATTGTTGACAGTGTTTGATAGAAATTGTTTGACGGATTTCTGATTTTCGTTGAGGGTTTTGACGCTATACGATAGAAATTCTTGAATCCCTTCTTTGCAATGAGCTGCCTCCACAATTGTCATCATCCTTTTTTTTTTTGAGCTTGGGAAGTGAACAATTACTCGATTAGAGAGTCTTTTTTTATCGCAACAATAATATTTGTATAACCTACTTTAATTTAGTTTAAAGGAAGGAGAAGCCGACGAGATTTTCCTATCGGATGACTTCCCACCCCCACCAAAACTTAAATATTTTGGTGGTACCAAGAGCCCAAGAGGCTATTGGCTAAACAGAAGAACTACTTCATTGTTATTAGCAACCGAAGAATTACTTGTTTATTAGCAGCATTAATGTCAGGTTTGGATTACCATTCAATCTGTGATATAAATTGGTATGGGGAGCTCCCAATCTTCGTGTAAACTTATCAGCTTATCAATAAAAGTATGAAGCGTACAGAGAAAAAAAAAATCATTAATGCCAGGTTAGGTTACAAATCCTGTATTTAAATAGTAAAAGTCTGTTAAA